TTACTGGGAACCACCAAAAAGAGACTGGCCCCTTCCTCTTGACACCCATCCTTCCGATATTTATAGACATTGATAAGATCCCCTTTCAGACTTCTCAAGACTAAACAGCCCTAGTTCTCTCAGCCTTTCTTCATAGGAGAGATGTTCAAGTCCCTTAAAAAATGCATTTCCCTTCATTAATAACACAACTGAAAATTAATAAAGCAACAGAGGAATCTGTTTCTGAGACAAATAATTTTTATGTTCAAATGTATATTGTTTTTGTTGTTGCTTCAACATGTAACACTGCTTACATGTAATTTCATGCTATCACTATTTCATACTATTGCAGTAGAATTTACTACTGTGCAGTATTTCTCCACTATTCAATGAACTAGCATTTCTTTCTAGTCCTGCTTCTCTGATGTTAAATGATAAAAATTATTAAAATATAAATGTTGTGAAAAAGTCTATATATATATATTTTTGCACTATAATGCATTGCAAAAGAATAATACCATACCTGAGTATTGTCTATAACTTCTATATTACTTCACACATAGATTTCTATATGGAAGAGGAACTAGCCAGGAACTGAGCACTTGAAATACACTTATCCCAGGAAAATATGCAACCCCGTTTGACTACCACAACACCAATTTGCTTCAAAGCTGATGATGCCTAGAAAGTTGTGGAGGAAACACTGACCATTAAGTTTGGAGAGCTTTTCTTTAAATCTAACCTTTTCTTCAGAAGCTTTATACACATTGTCCAAAAGCAAGGGCATAGATTAATTAGGGGAGCACAATTTGCCTACAGGAACAACCGAAAGACAACAAACCATCATCTTCATCACGGCATGGTATTAGCAACAGCAGATCAGCAGAAAAAACTTCAGCCACCCTGCCCTCAAAATCCAATCATAGCATGTCAAGAGGAAATTCCTCAGTAATTTAACACCAGATGTACTGGGCTTCACTTGGGTATTTCAAATTTTTTAATGTTCATATTGACTGTGTGTCCATACTGTGGTGCCTCATAACAAAAATGATATTTAATGAATTCAGAAGTTTTGTCTGATGAGAAGGTATTTGGCTATCTATCAATTTCACTGAGCTTTGTTTGGATACCAGTAGAAGCACTGTTGAGCAAAAAATAGTACATTGAAAATGCAGTTCTTTCCACTAGAAGGATAATTTTCCCATTTAATGCTCAATTTGAGAAAAGAATTAAATAATCACAAGGAACAAATAAAATATGCCTGCATATGTAATTCATGGATTAGGAGCTACACATAAAATTATCTAAACTTGAGTGTGGACAAAGAAGAAAAAAATCATAATCTTACTTGGTTTTACAGTTGTTCATTAAAGCATTCAAATATATTTTGCACAGCTGCTAGATACACAGTTTGTCAGCAGCAATCACAGCCGCACAACACAGTAGACAACTCTATGCCACAAAATATTCTGAAAATGCCTCCTAAAAACTCTGGAAGATGCTTGAGTGATAGGACAAGAAAATATGCATACTACCTTCCAGATGTCAGTTCCAAGTATCCATTCAAATATCTTGACATTTCAGTAAATGTTACCTTTCTGGGATAAGACAGGATATCAATTCCTTTTTACAGGAGACAACCTTTAGTTACTTGAAGGAAAGATTTTCTACTCTAGCTCAACAGCTTGTTTTTTTATCCTGCTTATAGACCAGACACTCGTTAACCTCTCAGATCTCTGGAGAGTTGTGGTTTAAGGGAACCCAGGAGGAAAAGACGAATTTGGAAAGCCATTTATCCATCTCACTAGAATTGAGACATTATGGTTTTTGTTCTTCCCCCACTCCCCAAAATACCAAATTTCCATCATCAGAGCTCTCTGAATAAACGAACATTTTGTTACTGGACTCAGGAAGAAAGAAACCACATGCCTGTTAGGAACAGAGTGAGGAGGAGTGGAGTATGTGCTTGGGAGAGTGTTTATTTGACTGGATTGCAGACGGTCAACCGAAGAACATGCAGATCATATATTTTTAAGCATTTCATAATATCTTATTATTAATTACAGCCAAAACCACCAAGACCAAAATTATCTGAAATTGGTGCTTGTGTGTCCTGACCCCAAAGCCAACAATGGTTGCAAAAAAAAAGTTTTAAAATTCAACGTTCCTCTCAGGTTTATTTACTATTATTTTTTCCAATCAATTAGAAGGCAATGTGCATTATAGTCTATGGAGAAGACAAGTCTCCATAACTAACAAATTGAAACGTGGCCCTGGGTAAATTTTACTTCCAGGAAACCAAAACGTTGCAGTCCTTGAGAGAGGGAGGCTATAAGCAGAGGGCTCTTCTAAAGGAAAGAGTTTTTATTGAACCTGTCACTTGCCATTAAACACTCCATATTTTACCTTAGTCTGATATTTTCATTAGAGCATACAGACCTTTTTCATCTGTGAATGAAAGCACTGCCTTCACCCTTCTGTTGAATATGGGGAAAGACTCTCAAAAATTGAGCCCACCCAAAGAGGACAATCAGGTTCAAAAAAGTAGAAAACACACTAGGGAAAATCAAGTAATATTAATATGATGATAACTTACACATTTCAATGTTGACTATCATAAGCCCCTTGGATCCTAAACTCTTACATGCTTTTAACAAAGTCTGTTTTTGATCTCAGAAATACTTTCATATAATTATGTAGAAAGCAAAAGATACCAGTGCAGAATTAACCATAACATAAACAAAGTAGAAAAAGTAAGTAAGTACTGCTTACATGTCTACTTGGAAAACCTGAATGTTAAAAATGTAAAGATAGTAAAATTACACACTTTGACATCTTTGCTCCAAATTTTAGTTTCCCTATTAGACCATCAAACTATAACAAATAACACTGGAGAAAAAGAGAAAACTATCAAGCAAATCTGCTTCCTTAAAAGAGACAATTGGTATTTTTTGTTCCTAGGTTATTTTGCAATTTAAAATAAGGAAATATTTAGAGTAAAATTATGCTATGTTATTCATAGTTTTAGATCTATGATCTCTCTCCTGCTAAAGCACTTTGTAAGATTGGATAGGACATAAAGAACTCAAACACAACTACTTCTTCCACATAACTTCTGAGCAAAAAGCTGCCTCACTGCTGCCACCAAAGCTGTACAATCTCTTTGAACTATCAGAAACTGGTATTAAATACTTTTAAAACAATTTAAAGTTATCAGTAACCAGAATATCACTGTGTGTTCATTGCTATGTCTAGTCACACAAACTCATTACATAACATACTGTTTCTTAAAACATACAAACTAAAAGAGCAACTTCAGTATGCAAATAGGAGCTGACAGAAAACAATGGCAGGCTTTTTCCTAATGTGTTCCGTTTATGTAAAAGAAAGAAAAATGAAAAGTGAAAGAATAACTTTGGGGAAAAAGTCAGAAAAAGAGCCATTGCTTTTAAAATCCGGAAGTGCTACATAAAACCAAAGAAGATGGTCTTGTGGAATGGTGTAATTCAATAAATACACCATGCACATAACAGTAAGGCAAATGTTAACTACCACTTATCTTTTCAAACTTAAAATACAGATTTAGTCAAATGCAGATTAGAAATCTAACCAAATATTGTATTAGCTTTAGGAATTTTTAAAGAGATTGAGCTAATACAAGGAAGATTGTGTTATTTAAACTTAATCTGCCACAAAACGAGAGCCTTGTGGATTGCTGTAGCATTACAGCCACAAAACCCATTAGCAGATGTAGAAATCCCACACTCCAGCCTTTTATAAACATCTGCAGTTATGAAATCATTTTCATATACTTGGAACTTAACTATTTCAACGCCCTGCACATACAGGACTGGAATTGAGGGGGAAAACTAAAAAGTGGTGCATCTGAGAGCATTCCATATGGACACATGTAACTGTGGTTCTTTCAGAAGTTCTTAGAGAGTTGAAACCATCCCCCTGGAATTCCACAGAGCAAAGAATTATTTGCTTAAATTATTAAGGGGATTTCTCTTTGCTAGTGAACTATTAGGATTTATTCCGTGTTTTCACTGTAGACCTATTAAGCTCTTACGTTTATTGCAGCTGGTAGCAAGAACCAGGATTTAACCTAGGATAACAAAGGAAAACACCTAGGACAAGGCTTTATAAAGATTTTAAAAATAATTTTTAAAGACCTCAAGGGTAGATTACTGTTTCCATGCTTGACACGTTTACTTTGACTATTTTTGTAAACTAAGGAAATCACAGGCAAAATATCTATTATCTCGTCATTTAGTATCATGGCATCTTTGATTTCTTTCATGGCAATAGTTCAACATTTTTATGACAGCACTTGAAAACTTACTGTTCGATAAACCATCTACAGCTTATATCAACATATAGAACACTGAAAAATATTGGACTTGCATTCATATTGGTGACTTTCATATGCCTAGATAGATTTGAAGTAACCAGACAATTCTGTGGGGAAGAAGCATGTTATCATTTCAGAAATAAACCAAATTGACAAGTAAGGCTACCAAGAATTCACGAGATAAGAGTAGGGTTTCTCTGCCAAACAAGGACAAATAAACACAGAAAACAAGGTCCTCCAGATGCCCCATGACAATTTTCCATGGATATAAGAGTACTTACTTTACTGAAGAAAATGCACCAATCTCAGGTAAAGCCAGCTGGGAAAATACACACAACCACTAAAAAAAAGGCTGTTAGAAGAGCAGCAAAGAAAGAAATATCACCAATGTCAATACCAAAATGATAAAATTATTTCAATGATGCACTTCATAATCAAGTTGACAGTGAAAACTATTTTTCCCTTTTATGAATATGGGGTAAACTACAAGGGCAACTGAGAGACTTCGCTTTCTTTGAAGTGCTCTGGGATACATGTGTCCTTTCAAACAATCAGTAACAAATTTCTTAGGTAAGAGTTGTGAAAATAGATCAGGAGGTACAGCAGAGAGTGAGGTAGCTAAGCCTGGCTGTTAGGCCATGTTCCTTTATTTGAACTCCCATGTTACCTGAAGTTGTTGGGAGCTGTCATTGAGATTATCTTCTCGTCTCCTGGCCTCTTCCAGCATCTGTGCACTCTTCTTTTTCTCCACTTGCTCTTTATGCTTCAGATTTGCTACTTTCTTGTTTTGATCTTTAACTTGCCTGTAAAAGAGAAGAGCACTCAGAGTGCAATCTGGAGGACACTTCACTTCCATCCAGCCCCAGCACTGGACACCTGGACTGGGGAGAAGTGGAACCCTCAAGTATAATCACTTTGCTTGCAGAAGGTCACCAACACCAAATTCATTCTCAAGCATTACCCTTAACTGTTAATACAGCCAAAAGCCCACTTTGTTTTGCTCATTACCATTGCTCTAAACATGGAAACTTCTGAAAAAACAACTTAATTACTATTTGGTATATACAATTAATTAAAAGATGCAGCTGCCCCCTTGTGACTACGTGTTATGTAGAAATTTTTTTTCTGTTCAGACACAGTTGTGCATATAAAAAACCCAGACATCTGTTTTATCTAATAGCCTATTTTGCTTTGGGTACCACTATATTTAATATAAAGAAAACAGGAGGATCAGAATGAAAAAAATAATGAAACATGACTTGAATATAGAGGACTACCTTCAAGACCTAGGCAATCTCTTTTCACAAGTAAAACTATTTCTTTTCAATGTCAAGTTCTACTTGTTTACTAGATATTTTGAGGGATTTCCTATCCTTTATTTTTTTTAGAAACAAGATAGAGCAAGTAAGAACAAACCGTTTCAGAAAGCATGCATAATTTCTTTTTCACTTGCATCTATGAATTATTTTTGATGATCCTGGCAACTACCATTGCCTGCAGACAGGGTTTGGCCTTTCTGGGCATTAAGACACATGGAGTATTGAATCTAATTACAGACCCTTTAATCTCAGCCTCCTGACCACACAGAACTTAAGTCTAAACTTTTAGTCCAATCAAAACAAAACAGGCTAGCTGTGCTTCCTCAGCCCTTTTCTCCATAATTATATCTAGAGTTTGGATTTTGGAATAAAAGACAGATTCTTTGGTTGCAAGATTTCTCCAAACATCATGCAAGTAGTAGAGACAGCTCTTTAATTTACTGTTTAGAAAGCAGAATGATATACTAGCATCCTATCTGGTATGTTATCCACACAGAGAGGGAAGAATGTTTCTTCTGTATTTCAGAGATACTTTCAGAACAGATCACAAACAACTCCGATTGCTTTAATATTTTCTTCAGAACTCATAACAAAAGTATGCTTAAGAACATATCTCTTTGTGATATATACATTCAAATTATGGGGCATATGGCTAATCAGTGCTTTGAGTTCTTCCAAGTATATGTAGGTTCAACACTGAGCTCTACTTTTTGCACTGTAAGCCAACTGGAGCTAGGAAAATTGCAAAGACAGCACATTTTCCTTGGTGCTAAATAAAAAAAGTGCTGATGATCTCCAGAGACCTAGGGAAAAAGCAAAGTCCTTTTCTGATTATGTTAAAGAACTATTAGTCTATTTAACTGCCTTGTCCAACAGTTACAGCTGATTTGAGTCAGGATGCTTTTAAAGCACAACCAGTATAACAGTTAAGTTGTTCTAAGCCAGTGCTGCACGCTGGCAATGGGCTCACTGCCCAGATTGAAAGCTGACTTGTTCAGTGATTAAACAACTTATTGGAAATATTATGTTGGCACCAACTCAGCTTGTACAATACATGGCAAGTACAGATAAGTTAATGCAGAAAAGGAAAACATGTAAGACACACACATACCACTTCACATGAGAATTCTTATGCGACTTACGGGACTAACCTTAGGGAATTATTTTTTATAAACTTCCAAACCTAAATTCACCTGTTGGAAAACTGGTCTGTGTTTTTGTAATCTACTGGTTAGATATTAATAAAGCGACAAGTCTTATCAAACATGTCTGAAGTAGATAATCTCCCACATAGCCCGAATCTCTTTTGAACAAAATATGTGTTTCAAAGAAAGGAGTTATAAGGGTACATACTATTGACATCCACCTTTTCTTGTCTGAAACAAAATTAATGTCTTTCTAACATACCAAGTAGATATTCTGAGACAAACTCCAGCTTTTCTAAAGCAGTATACAAGATGGAAGTCTTGAAATTACCGAGTATTTGTAAAACTCAGATCAAAGCATATCATTGCTATACTGTTTGGAAACTTCAATTCACATGCAGGAAATAACTATCACTCTGTACCTTTGATGTGAAAAAGCAACAGAAGTTGGGCAATAAAACTTTCAAATGACACAGGTATCTAAGGCATTGTCTAAATTTTGCCCAACTGGTTAACTACATAAACTGAAAACATAATGCAAAACTTAAATCTATAAATCTAAAAGGCTTGCAGTCATTTGTTGCATGAAAGTACATCTTATCTCAATGCCCATGGTATCAAACGATCAATCTCACTTTTACAATACTTCATGCCAATAATTGTGTAAAAGGTTTAGCTATACAAGCCCAGAGTCCTTGAAAATTTTCAACTAAGTACACTACAACTGATACATTCTACAAGGACACAGTCGAGAGGAAAATAAAGTTTTGTGGTAATATATGGGCACAAGGAAGCTAATTAGGACTGCAGGGGCTGGGGGGAGAAAGTCAGCTGGAATTCCCTTAGTTTGAGAGCTTCATTTTGTAAACTGAATGTTCTTTTAACTCCTGTGAATGTAATTACAAGTATGGATAGCACATATCCCTGACAAAGTTATAGTGAGGTTTCAAACAAATCCTTCATCTGTAAGAGTACCCTTATTAAAACTGAAAAAACTGCATAAGATTAAAGGTAGCAAAAAGCAAATGAAATAATTACGATCGTAAGAGCTTAGAGATTTGAGTGTTTCCTAACATTAGCATACACATCAAATGAGTAAAACCCAATGTGCAATGTGTACATGGAATTCTCATCATTAAAAAAAGCACATTACCTTCTGAGAGATACAGAACACTAAATATTGCTATAAATACATATATCTTATAAGCTATAAATACAAAATATCTTTTAAAAATGGGACTAGTGAAAAAATGAATACTGGTGATTCTAAGAAAATTGAAGAGGCAGTTCATGTTCAATGAGACAAAGCTTTAAAGAAGGGTATCACTATAATCAAGAGAAATAATAACAAAGCAAAAGCAGAACTACTTAATCTCATAATATGTTTATTCCCAGAGTTGCCCTCAAATCAAATAATAAAAAATGTTCTAGTCACATATTAAAGAAGAAAAATTGAATGAGAATGTTCATTATGCTGAAGTACAGTGAAGAATCTCACTATTTTTGGAAATAACAATTTCTTCTGCATTTTAATAGCGATTTTCAGATAAGAACATTTTTTTTTGCAGTAAGTATCCTAAAAAATTTAGCACTCAAAAGTAAAAAATCTTTTCAATTGCTCAGAATATTTCTCCATTTCACAATATATTGTCCCAAGTATTATTACAATGGAATATATGACAGAAAAGGAAGTGCTACCAAAATCAGGCTTCTGACTTAAAATAATAACACCCCAAGTCTTTCAACTAAAGAGGGGCCAAAATTTTCAGAATTAATAATTTCATATCCTTTGATTTTGGGTGTTCAATTTAAGCCACATGCCTGCCAAAAAAACCCACAAATTAAAAAAAAATCTCAATATGGACACTGAAAAGAATTATTAATGTCTGTGACTATACTGGTGATTCTAAGAAAATTGAAGAGGCAGTTCATGTTCAATGAGACAAAGCTTTAAAGAAGGGTATCACTATAATCAAGAGAAATAATAACAAAGCAAAAGCAGAACTACTTAATCTCATAATATGTTTATTCCCAGAGTTGCCCTCAAATCAAATAATAAAAAATGTTCTAGTCACATATTAAAGAAGAAAAATTGAATGAGAATGTTCATTATGCTGAAGTACAGTGAAGAATCTCACTATTTTTGGAAATAACAATTTCTTCTGCATTTTAATAGCGATTTTCAGATAAGAACATTTTTTTTTGCAGTAAGTATCCTAAAAAATTTAGCACTCAAAAGTAAAAAATCTTTTCAATTGCTCAGAATATTTCTCCATTTCACAATATATTGTCCCAAGTATTATTACAATGGAATATATGACAGAAAAGGAAGTGCTACCAAAATCAGGCTTCTGACTTAAAATAATAACACCCCAAGTCTTTCAACTAAAGAGGGGCCAAAATTTTCAGAATTAATAATTTCATATCCTTTGATTTTGGGTGTTCAATTTAAGCCACATGCCTGCCAAAAAAACCCACAAATTAAAAAAAAATCTCAATATGGACACTGAAAAGAATTATTAATGTCTATGACTTTTTTTTTTTCTTCTAATAAAACAAAGCTGCACCACTTAAAAAAACTCACACCTTCCCACTTCTCTCTGAAATTCTTGAATTTCCAGTGATGAGGTACAGCTGAACACCTTGGAGAATGAGTGAAAATAATCAGAATAAGAAATAAAACCTTTCAAATTAAAAGATTTCACATTTTAAAATAATTTTAAAACAGGAAGGAGAATATAAGCAATAGAAAACGAGTGAATCATGAAGAATTCCTGAAAAGCAGAAAGTCACTTTATCACCTGTGAGTCTTTTAGAAGAGGTTTTCTTCCTAATATGATGAATTCCTTTATAGGCCCTATTATTTATTAAGGCATTTATAAAGTTAATATTTTCTCTTCTAACCTATTTTTTTTTTCATTTTAGTACTAATCTCATTATCTTTTACTGTAATGTACATCAGTATATATAGCTGTTAATTCTCACCTCGTATGGATTTTCATGGTACATCTTATTGTAATCTGGTTATTTTTTCCAGCATAATTTAATATGTTCTTACATAATAAAAGGTGACAAAATACTAACTGAAAATATGCATAATTTAATTTGAATTTTGTAATTATATTTTAACATATTTCTCCTTCACAGTTATGCACCTAGTACAAAACAGTGTTTTTACAAAAAACTGAGTATAAGGATACATTTACAACTAAATTCAAGCCACCAGAGAAGCTTCCCTTCAAGATAAAATGTATACACACCTACTATATTCTACCTACTGAACACACACACTAGGAAGACATACAGATCTTGTGCACAGCTATAGAAACAGCCTGTTGT